CCGTGGGCGGGGGACCGCGGGTGCGCGGTGCGCGCGGGGGCTCGGGCGGGGACGGCGGACTCGAAGGCGCCCTAGGGCCTCGCCCGCCGCGGCCGGTGTCCCCGGCCGCTCTCGCGGGTGCCGGCGCGCGTGGGGCGCAGTGGGGTCCTGCAGGGCCGGTGACTGAGCCCGCGGGGACGAGTGCCGGGCCAGGGGCCTTTGTGAGGTCTCTCGTTTTCTCTTTCAGTTTGTCTGACAGTCGCCAGACTATGTTCATGCTTCTGGTTGTCCTCGGCCACCTGCCCAGAGTCGCCTTCGCGTTTCCTCATTGCTCCAGGAGTCCCGAGGCGCCTGGGCATGCGGGAGAAGGTAAGCCCGGCTCGGATTTCAGAACCCTCCTAGAAACCGAGCCGCGTTACAGACCTCAACAAAGTGCGGCTGGCCTTGGCCTCCAGCAGTCTGGGGCGTCTAAGCGCCTGGGGCTGGGTCGTGGTTTCTTTGGGAATGCAGTTCCTGCGAATTGGTTCCTGTGCGGTCCTTTGATGGATATTTAAGACCTGGCTTTCCGCTCGCTGAATGGAAAACCTGTTCCAACTTCCGCAAATCAGTGAGGAGCGTTTTTCCAGATGAGGCCAGGTGGTTATTACAGTGAGAGGAATGACTTGTTCTTCCTGGAAAGATGGATGCAGTCCGTGATCTGTCTGGGCTTGTCGGGAGACCCTGAGAAGGCGGTAGACACTCTGGGCTTGGCGGCCTGGCCTGGGGATGGCAGATCGTGACTGCCTGAGCACCAGGCCCTTCCTGACTTTAAAAGCAGAGGGAGAGCAGGTGGCGTGTGGCTTGCTACCGAGAAGCCCACAGCTTTTAGACCCAGGTCTTAAAACACACTGGCTCCTGCCTGGCATTTGTAAGCCTAATCTAGTAAAATGAAAAAAAAAAAAAAAAAAAAAAGAGGGCCTTTGGCTCTCTGCATCCTTCTACCCTCCTCATGAGGGTGCTCCCAGAGCCAGTGCCAGCGCTTGGGGGGTGCTTCACACACCCTCCTGCCCCTTTTCCCTGCTCACCTGTTCCCACTCCCGTCTTACGTGCGTTCGGAAAGGCTCTGTCACACCAGTGCTCGTGCTGACTTAGTAATGATTAGTGCAGCTCGGGGTGAGTGTGTGCGCGCGTGTGTCTTTAAAGACAGGGCGATGTCTTAACCCAAAGGAATCCGACTCTGATGACAGAGCCCTAGGCAATTGGACAGGCTAGCTCGTGGGATAGGTAGAGATTCTGGAAGAGACTTTTTTGTTTTAGTTCATTTCTTTTATTAACTCAAAAGCAATGACTTGTCTTCTGGTTGTTGAAGCCCTAAGCCACAATAATGTCTACATGGCGGCTGTAAAACCCCAGCACTGCCTTCATCCGAGGGCACTCCCGATGGAGGCGACTATTGCGCCATCGTCCACCTGCGGCGTTTCAGGACGCCCAGCTCGGCCTTTTCTCTCAGCTGTCCTTCTCAGAAGTGGCACAGGACTCCTTTCTCTCCGTCGCACACCGCGAGTCAGCACGAGCTGCAGCGTGCGCTCGTTTGGGCTGCGTGAGACAGAGCACGCCCGTCTTCCAGCTGCTCGTTGGCAGGAACCAGCCTTTGCTGGTGGGGGAAGTCCTTATCCTGGATGTGGCTTTTACATTTTCTGTTGTAGTCCACGGTTCAGCCTCGAGGGTGATGGTCTTCCCCATAAGGGTTTTTACCAAAATCTGCATCTTGGTGACAGTCCCACCGCAAATGCCGGATCAGGAAGGAAGTGGAAGAGAATTCTGTACCTCCCAGCTTGCACCATATTGAGGGTACTTCAAAAAGTTTGTGGAAAAAATGGGGTTAAATTACATTTATTTTGGTGCAAAAATTTGGGAGTAACAGCCAGCGGCATGATGGTTAAGGTGGCTGGAAGCCACATGGCCGACAGCTCGGTTCAATTCTTGGACCCAGCAACTTAAAAAACACACTGGACGCATGTGCATACCTACCCAGCGTACCAGGAAAAGGGACTACGATGTGGCCATACCCGCTTGTGGGTGCTTTCTCTCTGTCTCTGTCTCTCATGCGAGTACACGTGCCCTATGGCAAAAATCTAAAAACATATAAAAAAGAGAAAATTGAAATCCATGCATAGTTTTTATGTAATATGCATTTTCTATGAATCTTCTGACAACCCCACACACACAAGCTCACCCGCTCTGAGGCCACAGGCCCAGAATAGTTGTGTGTGCATTCGCGCACGTGACACAGGCTGGAAGACACTGAAGGCCACCACCGTCGTGGCAGTGCAGAGACTGCATGAGCACGCAGGCTGCAGGTGTTGCAGGGTGTGCGCAAGGGGCTGCACACTGGAAACGCCGGTTTCCTCAGCCTGCAGTGCTTCACGGACTCATCCTCAGTGCCAGGCCCTGTGCTGGGGGCCGCAGATGCAGAATAGGAGACGTAACCCCTGCCTGTACCAGAGGCCAGAGGGTAGGAGAAGCTCACAGGCAGAGGTGGGCGTGTCCACCTGAACGGGAGGTAAAAGGGACCTCCGGCTACATTCTGATAAACCTGAAGGAGGGCTGGGATGACTGAACAGGAGCTTGTTCGGCAAACACGAAGAGATGGGGCCAGCAGGTGGCATGGTGGTTGGGGCGCTGAGCTCCCAAATGGCTGACTGCAGTTTGAGTCCCAGACCTGCTGGCTTGCTTTCTCACTTTCTCTGGTGAGCATTCATGCCCAACAGCAAATTAAAATAATAGTGATAATAATAATAATATTAAATAAATAAATCTTTAAAAATGAAGAAAAATCATGGACGAGAATGCCTGGGTTGGTGGGTTTGTAGCAGTGCAATACACAGGCGGCCTCTGGGGAGGGTCCAGGCCAGGAGACTAGCCAGGAGGAAGGTGGGAGGGGACCGTGGCAGGGCGGGCAGG